CTGCCCTCTCCCCTCGCCTCGCCCCCTCCTCCGCCTCCTCTTAGCAAGAGGTCGGCGACCCTAGTCTCCCCGAGTCGGTGGCACTTTCGAGGAACGACACAAAACGGCGTACACGCCGGTCGCAAGGACTAGGCAAAGACTTGAGGTAGGAAGGCGGATAAAGTAGATGCGCGTTCAGGCCCTCCCAGAGAATAACACAGCAAAAGCATATCGTTCTTGAAGACGCTTGAGGTACATTGGGATCTGGGAATCCAGAAATACCTACAGTCGAGGCGTTGACCTAAAGAACCCTAAATAAGGAACGAGGCCCCTTTTGCCCATAAGTTGAACTTCGACTTCCCATCGAAAATGTAAGGAAAACCTTAGGCAAGGTGTGGCACGATTAAGGAACACCGAGCCCCTCCCCAACGAAAAGGGTTCCTTTTTCGGCACCCCGACTGTACTTTCAACGACTGGCGTGTAAACATAATGGATCGGCGCTGGAACCCCCCTCCATGGCGCACGGACCGCGCCAGGGGAGCCCGAGCGCCGATCCGCGAGACCGGCGTGGACCTCCGAGAAATTACTGTTATGCCGCTTTTGTCATTCGATTTCGACGGACCGAATCGATTGGACCCCATCTCGGGGACACGCGCGATAAGAAGGGCGTCAGTCCTCGATTGGGGTGCGTCCGAATAGCCCCTTCTGGGGCGTATCCCCGAGTTCCCCTTCTCCTCTGGTCGAACAGCTTTGGGGGGGGGATTCGGGGTGCTTGGGCGAGGAATTTCCTGCGCCCCTCCTTGCCCCCGCTCCCTCTCTCCTCCTTCCACTCTTTCTCCCTGGAGCTGGATGGAGCCTACGTGGGTGACGGCAGTGCCAGGCCGCGAGCCAAAGCCCTGGAGCCTCGCCAATGCTTGCTCCAATTCGTCCACGGCAGAGGCGCCTACCAAGAAAGACCGATCGGATCCGCGAAAATACGCATGCAGATGCGACTGGACCTGTGGTTTGCTGCTGACCGTGCGTGTTCATCGTCTCTGCGCACCACGCGGCCGCACAGCATTGGCCCTCGCGGGTGTCGCCATAAACGTGCACCACACGTGTTACCCTCTTCCAATCCCCTTCGTCCACTTCGGGGAAAGGTTCACCGCTCCCTCACACCCCTTCCCTCGGGCGCGGACGACCCTCCCCGCCATCCCTGCGCGCGAAGCTTAGAGCTTCCAAGGTGGCTCTACATGGCTCCATGATGGCCATAGATATTTCAAGATGGCCTCGAACATGGCGCAACATGGCCCGAAAATGTTACAATATGGCCGCCAGCATGAATACAAGAAGCCCCGAGAAGGCCCAGGTGGTCACGGAGCCTCTCAAAGATGACCCCAAGATGCAAAAGAATGGCAACCCATCTTTGTTGCTGCACAAGGTTGCCGTTTCGCCTTTTAGCCTTTTCGCTTCCCAGGGGCCTATTGTGTCACGGGATGGTCCCAAGATCGCCCCCCAAGGTGGCCCCAGAGGGCCTCGAAAGGGGCACTGGACAGCCTCAAGAGAACCCCAGGGCTCCCAAGAGCACCCCAAGAGTGTGCTCCATGTCCTCATCCTCCTCCTCCTCCTCCTCCTCCGCCGCCTCCTCCTCCTCCTCCTCCTCCTCCTCCTACTCCTCCTCCTACTCCTCCTCCTCTCCCTCTTCCATTCCTTCTCCTTATAGATAACTTCTCCCTGTCGCACCCCGGGGCCAATGTTTAGGGCGGGCCGGGGGTTTCTCCTAAGACTTCCTCCCCGTTTTCAAACTGTGGCTCTCGCCCTAGCGCCGCGCATATTCGTTTAAAATTATGAAAGAGTTTCCCGAATTGAAGGCGGATCGTTTTCAAAATGTGGCTCTCACCCTAGCGCCGCGCACATTTCTTTTAAATTATGCTAACGGAATTCCCCACATAAAGAGATTAACGGTTTCGTGGGACCCATTTTCTTGATGCCCTCCTCGCTTTGGCGGGGCCCCGCTGGAAGGGGGGAGGGCTACGAAACCTGGCGAAGAGTAATGCTTTCCGCGACCCTCCTCGCTCAGGCGGGGCCTCTCTGGAGGGGTGGGAGGGGCACGAAACCATGTAAATAGTATGGTTTTCCGATACCCTCCTCGCTCAGGCTGGGCCTCCCTGGAGGGGTGGGAGGGGCACGAAACCATGTAAATAGTATGGTATTCCGATACCCTCCTCGCTCAGGCGGGGCCTCCCTGGAGGGGTGGGAGGGGCACGAAACCATGTAAATAGTATGGTATTCCGATACCCTCCTCGCTCAGGCGGGGCCTCCCTGGAGGGGTGGGAGGGGCACGAAACCATGTAAATAGTATGGTATTCCGATACCCTCCTCGCTCAGGCGGGGCCTCCCTGGAGGGGTGGGAGGGGCACGAAACCATGTAAATAGTATGGTATTCCGATACCCTCCTCGCTCAGGCGGGGCCTCCCTGGAGGGGTGGGAGGGGCACGAAACCATGTAAATAGTATGGTTTCCGATACCCTCCTCGCTCAGGCGGGGCCTCCCTGGAGGGGTGGGAGGGGCACGAAACCATGTAAATAGTATGGTATTCCGATACCCTCCTCGCTCAGGCGGGGCCTCCCTGGAGGGGTGGGAGGGGCACGAAACCATGTAAATAGTATGGTATTCCGATACCCTCCTCGCTCAGGCGGGGCCTCCCTGGAGGGGTGGGAGGGGCACGAAACCATGTAAATAGTATGGTATTCCGATACCCTCCTCGCTCAGGCGGGGCCTCCCTGGAGGGGTGGGAGGGGCACGAAACCATGTAAATAGTATGGTATTCCGATACCCTCCTCGCTCAGGCGGGGCCTCCCTGGAGGGGTGGGAGGGGCACGAAACCATGTAAATAGTATGGTATTCCGATACCCTCCTCGCTCAGGCGGGGCCTCCCTGGAGGGGTGGGAGGGGCACGAAACCATGTAAATAGTATGGTATTCCGATACCCTCCTCGCTCAGGCGGGGCCTCCCTGGAGGGGTGGGAGGGGCACGAAACCATGTAAATAGTATGGTATTCCGATACCCTCCTCGCTCAGGCGGGGCCTCCCTGGAGGGGTGGGAGGGGCACGAAACCATGTAAATAGTATGGTATTCCGATACCCTCCTCGCTCAGGCGGGGCCTCCCTGGAGGTGTGGGAGGGGCACGGAACCATGTAAATAGTATGGTATTCCGATACCATCCTCGCTCAGGCGGGGCCTCCCTGGAGGGGTGGGAGGGGTGGTATGGTATGCTATGCTATGGTATGGTATGGAATGGTATGGTATGGTATGGTATGGTATGTGTGGTAGGAACTATGGTATGGTATGGTGTGTGTGGTAGGAATAATCTTGTGCTGTATGGAAGATGGAGCGGGAGGTGGGTGGGAAGGAGAGGGTGTTCTGGGAAAACAAGAACTCCACTCAGGATGTGGGGAAAAAATTAAAAAGTTCCATGGATTGCGGGCGGGTCGTTTTCAAAATGTGGTTCTCGCCTTAGCGCCGCGCACATTCGTTTCAGGGCGGGTCAAAATGTGGCTCTCGCCTCAGCGCCGCGAACATTCGTTTTAAAGATTTGCAAGAGGTTCAAAGATTGCGGGCGGGTCGTTTTCAAAATGTGGCTATCGCCTTAGCCCCGCGCACATTCGTTCTAAAAACTTGCCAGAGTTTCACGGATTGCGGGCGGGTCGTTTTCAAAATGTGGCTCTCGCATTAGCGCCCGCGCACAGTCGTTTTTTTAAAATGCCAGAGTTTCACGGATTGGGGGCGGGTCGTTTTCAAAATGTGGTTCTCGCCTTAGCGCCGCGCACGCGGGTGCAACAGTTGTGTTGATCCGCGGTGTTGAAATCTCACAAACGGCGCACTGGCACAATTCCGGATCGTCCAGACCCAGCTGTCAGGTTGATACGTGGCGTTGAAATCCCGAGAACAATGTTTGGGCATGCTTCAAGAACTTCAAACGGTTGTCTTCCAAGGAGGCAGTTCCCTAAATGGAAATGAACCGTTGTGGGGGCCTCAGAAGAGGGAGCTCGGAAGGATTCCAACATCGTGGATGACTCGTGGGTTCACACTGATTATGCTTATTCTTATTATTATTGTTATTCTCCTTAGTAGTAGTATTCGTATTATTTTCAGTATTATTCTTAGTAGTATTGTTATTAGTATTCGTAGTATTCGTATTACTATGATTATTATTATCATTATTATTAGTAGTATTATTATTAGTATTATTATTATTATTAGTAGTAGTATTGTTGTTCTTCGTATTCTTATTATTCGTATTACTATTACTCTTCTTCGTCTTATTATTAGTAGTACTAATAATAATACTATCCTTATGAGTACTATTATTAGTATTATTAGTATTGTTATTAATAGTATTATTCTTCATGTTATTATTGTTATGATTAGTTGAATGAATATTCTTCGTATGGTTAGTATTATTCATATTATTCGCCGTATTATTCTTATTATGACTATGTTGCTTCTTCTTAATATTCTTATTATTATGATTATCATTACTATTATTACTTAGTACTAATAGTATTCTTATTCTTATTCTTATTATTATTATTATTATTATTATGTTTCTGCTTATTCCTCCTCGTCCTCCTTCTCCTCCTCCTCCTCCTCGTCCTCCTCCTCCTCCTCCTCCTCCTCTTCTCTTCCTCCTCCTCCTCCTCCTCCTCTCCTCTTCCTCCTCCTCTCCTCCTCCTCCTCCTCCTCCTCCTCCTCCTCCTCCTCCTCCTCCTCCTCCTCCTCCTCCTCCTCCTCCTCCTCCTCCTCCTCCTCCTCCTCCTCCTCCTCCTCCTCCTCCTCCTCCTCCTCCTCCTCCTCCTCCTCCTCCTCCTCCTCCTCCTCCTCCTCCTCCTCCTCCTCCTCCTCCTCCTCCTCCTCCTCCTCCTCCTCCTCCTCCCGAGGGTCCGAGGCGATTGTATGGGTTCCGTGGGGGCGTATACGAACCCCCCTCCCCGAGGCTCCGATGGGCCTCAGCGCGGAACCGTTGTGGTGGCTGCTCGGGC